AATTATAGAATCCGGTCTTTTGAGTATAACTGACAACACCTTTGTTATGCTACGGCTGTCATAACGTATTAGGAAAACTTGATCATAGAATTGTTTCACTCCCATAACAGTCAGGCGTTTATCTTTTTTCAGAGTCCGTTTACATTTTTCAATTCCTCAACGGTACTCAAATATTTATTAAAATAAACTTCGGTTACCTTTATTATATTTTAACAATGAATGAACCTTTTTACAGTAAACAGTTGCTGTCATGTTGGCTGTTCTCTTAGAAAAGCGCATGATGTGTGAGAAGGATTGAGTTCATCAACATTTATTTTGTTCAATTTATTCTCTTCTTTTTATCGTTTAGATTTTATGGTAAACAGGAAAAACAAAAATCTCGTCAGTCTTCTCAACCACCACCTCCTTCTTCATCCACCAACCAAAATGTTGATTTATATGCGATATTAGGTGTTAATAAAACGTCAACCGATAAAGAAATAAAATCTGCCTATTTATCAAAAGCTAAAGAATTGCATCCTGATCGAAATCCAGGCAATCAAGATGTAGAAGAAAAATTTAAATTAGTCAATCAAGCATATGTTATACTTAGTGATAAACATCAGCGAGAACAATATGATCAACACGGATATTCTAATGTTAAATATAATTGATATTTTTCAACTATTTATTCGTTGTTATCTAAATAATAAACGTGTAGTATGTAGATATTAATAATAAAGAGTTTTGAATAGTCTCGTTATGCCTGTAGAGCGTTGTTAGTCTCTAAAAGCAAATTATATCTTGGATTACAGACACATTGTTTCTAATTTTTTTCATAGTCATATCGATCAATAATATCTTCACTCGATTGTGTATGGAACGTGAGTGTAATCCAATCATTGTCTGTATTTGAATATGGATAATGCCAAGTATTTGGTGAAACACAATGCCATTGACCCATATTCACCGCTGTTGATTCCCATTGATGTTTATTATCTAGTTTAACAAACATTTTACCATTATTTCTAAGTGAGTATAATCGTTGATAACTATTTACATGATTTTCATATTTAAATTGAGTATTCCTACGTAAAATAAATAATCGAATTAAACGAATTTCTGTCGGCATTGTTAAATCAGCAGCAGACTTAATAATTGATTGAAATGTTTCAGCTGGAATTGTTTCACATAACCATTCAGTTTCAGTTGGACAAGAATTTAATTGTTTTTGAATTGAATCAGTTCGAACTTCAATATAATTTTTCACGTGATCTAGACTGATGATGTCCATCAACTCTTTTAAAATACTGTCATCCTGATATAAAGACATTTTTGCTTTTGCTCAACTGGTTTTTTCAACAAAATAATATAAAATGATAGATTTTCTTTAATCAGTATGTGGAAGACGTCAGCTGTTATTCCTTTATTCAAATAAAGTATAAAAAATTGTAGATATAATTCCATACAAAAAAGTTGAAAAACGATATCTCTGACCGTTTTCTAATTACTTACGTCACTTGCAACTGTTCGTGAGAGGGCGCCACAACAAGGGCCAAAAATAGGCGTCTGCCATTCACAAGAATTCTGACCCAGGAACAGTTGCAAGTGACGTAAGTAATTAAAAAACGGTCAGAGATCGTTTTTCAAGTTTTTTCTAGTTACATACGATATAACTATATTTATCAAATTAGGATGACAGTCGATTTCCAGGTATAATCACATCATAGACACACATACTATGCACGATATCAGTTCGCTGCGAACTCAAATATAGTGATCACATTTTCAGTTCGCAGCGAATTATATTCTATATATGTGTAAGTATGCACCAGTTACAGTTTTTTATCAGTTAACCGTACTTGTAAAACTGCTGATAAACTGTAAGGAAATATTCTAGAGTAAGTTAGTCTTGTACGATTTGCATACATTTGAAGACATTCTTAAAATGTATGCAAATCGTAGAAGACTAACTCACTCTAGAATATTTCCCTACAGTTATGACAGTTACGATTCTACAGTTTTACAGTTAACTGTAACTGGTGCATGCCTGTATATATGTATCAGACGTATCTACCTAGATACCTAAGATATTTGGCAAAAAAACAAGTTACAGAAAAATGAGTTCGCAGCGAACACAAATTGTGCACGACCTCTAAACACAATGAGTGAATAATTCAGTTTAAAGACGGCGATGGATTTATCAAAGCTCGGTTCGCGTACGATTGAAATATGATAAGTTATGTTTTTTTATCTTTTGTGACATTAGTAATTATAGAATCCGGTCTTTTGAGTATAACTGACAACACCTTTGTTATGCTACGGCTGTCATAACGTATTAGGAAAACTTGATCATAGAATTGTTTCACTCCCATAACAGTCAGGCGTTTATCTTTT